AGAAAAGATGAAGAGCACATTGGTTAACCATTTATATATTGGTTTTAAAAAATAAGTGTTAATTTTTTGTGGTTTTAATGAAATGAATCTGAAACGGTTGTAATCAAAATGATATGGAAAATTAAAATAGGTGCATCATATTTTAAAAATGATTCACATCAGTTTTGGTGCAAGCCCCTTCCCCTGCTTGTCACAATATTAAATAAAGTTGCCACTTTTTGATGAGTATAATTTTTTTCCTAATCTTTGCCATGTGTCGTAATCCATCTGTATAACTCTTTGATGAGTAAATTTTTTTTCCTAATCTTTGCTTATTTTGAGCAGGTAAATACAATCAATACTACGTGGATATACTTAAAATGGTATAAAATTTGCCCTAAGGTCTCTCAAGGACAACTAAAACTATTCTACTCCTCTTTTTCACTATTTAAACTGGTATAAAATTTGCCCTAAGGTCTCTCAAGGACAACTAAAACTATTCTACTCCTCTTTTTCACTATTTAAACTGGTATAAAATTTGCCCTTTAAACTGGTATAAAATTTGCCCTAAGGTCTCTCAAGGACAACTAAAACTATTCTACTCCTCTTTTTCACTATTTAAACTGGTATAAAATTTGCCCTAAGGTCTCTCAAGGACAACTAAAACTATTCTACTCCTCTTTTTCACTATTTACAGGCTTAGTTCATGAATAAATTCATTGGATCATCGTTCGTGATGCCAATTGAAATTCTGGCAAGCACACGATGGATGTTATTGTCAAAGTTATAATATCTAATGTGACATTGATTATTGTACTAACTAATTAAATCGTAAGCAAAAGCAGTAAATAACACAACAATTGTTCACCCAGTTCAGTGTCAATAACACCTACATCTGGGGGCTACCAAGCCAGGGAGGAAATTCACTATCAGTAGAATTAATTCAGACTCAGTTTGCACTTCTCTCTTAAAACCTACCCAATGACACTTCAACCTAGAGACACTTAAAGCCGAGAGTAAATTTTATTTTGAACAGGTAAACACAATGAATACTACATGGATATACTTAAACTGGTATAAAAGGCTTAGTTCATGAATAAATTCATTGGATCATCGCGATGCTTTTTCTTCATCCGGTATGCCTCCATCTCCTCTTGAGTAACCTCAAGACTCCATTTCACATTATATTTACGCTTCCTCTCATCTTTCTCTTCTCTCTTTCTCTGATCCTCCTTTTTCAGTGCATCGGCAAACAATTTTTCATCCAGAACTAGATCCTCTGGGACATCACTTCCCCATGTAGCAGGCCTTTTCTCTTCTGGTGGTGTAGGATCCTCTGTAAGGAATTTATGAATACAGTTAAAAATCAAGATGCAATAGGCAATTATCAGAAGAAGATATTAATAACAAGATAAGAGAAGGAGAAGATAGAGAAAGGCAATGCAGGGATATGGAATCAGCATACGAACCTGCAGCAGCTTCTTTACGAGCAATATTAGCTCTCATAAGATCATTTGCAGCTTCAGCAGCTTCAATACCAGCAGTACCAGTACAATAACTGTTACGTATTGTCTGCTTGCAGCACTTAAAGCCCCATTGATGATCCTTCCACCATGAACCCCAAACAGTTGTGTGGTTGTTAATGTAAACATCTTCTTCATACTTGCTTCTGGGGATTGCAGCTTCCTATTAGAAGCAACAGATAAATAACAGTTAATATCATCCTAACGACTGGCAAAACATAAAAGCACAATGCTTACAGTTGAACAAAGATCCAGCAATATCACAAAGAAGCGCTTCAAGTAAGATTTATATGCAACTTAAATTTGGGAAACAATAAAGATATAGAACACATGTCATACCTGTCCCTTAATAATTCTACCAGCACGGTCATACTCAACTTGCCTCTCACTCTGACCCAGCAGAAGTTCTCTTGGAAGCTTGTCATCGTCAGCTGCATTGCCATACTTCTCAATAATAGTTTCCTTTGTTTGAGATTTCAATTTGTCCTTCATGACCTTGAAATTCTTATAGAGCAATTCGGCTTGGGAAGGAGCTGCTTGCATGTGAACATCTTGTCCCTTGTCAAATGCTTCCCAAGCATGGATGTTTAAGTCTTTGAATTCCAAAGCTTGACCACTATTTCTATATTGGTTATCGCCCTACAGAACATAAATAAATTTTAACCTAAGTACAAGATTAAAAAAAAAGAAATCAAAACATCAAGTTTCCTGAAAAAATTAATCTTAGATAAATTACCAAGTAAAACTTTTCATTTGGATCAGCCTCAGGAAGAGGATCTTCACGCATGGACCTGGTCTTGGGGTCATAATGGGCTGAATTTACATCGAGATTGAGAAGATATTTTGCGGTATCCTCTCGAATTCGTAGATTCCTGAAGGTTTAAGAAATTTCAGTTATAATCCATGTAAGAAAATAGTGATTGGTCTTACAATTTTACAATGAAAGCCACATAACAATTACCTCACAGTTCCAGTACTCCCACCACCTGTTGTTCGCACACGCTTCTCAACCTTTGCAAAGTCCATTTGTTTGCTTTCATCAACCTTGGCCTCATCTACCCTCAAATCATCTTCATCTTCGGCCTCATCAATAGCAGCACCCTCATCATTTTGGTCGCCCTTCTCCAATTTCTCCAGCTGTTGTTCCTTCAAGTACTTCTTTCGAGCATCATCTCTGGCTTCATATCTCTCAATGACACGGGCGTAGGTTGATGCATCATACCCATTCCATCTATCTCGTTTTCCATCATAGTCAAGCTCAAAAGTTTCTACCTTTTCATCAGCAGCAATGTGCTTGTTTGTATGTTTTGCTCCTACTTTTCGTGGTCTTTCCATGCATGCCTTGGCAGCATGTGTCATTGCTCCACAACTATAAAAAGAAGATGAATATTAACATAATAACCTAAACTTGAAAGAGGAAGGAAGTCTAAATATATGCAGAGACAAGCAGTGCTATCAAACTCTATAATAAAACCAAACAATATAAGATCCCTAAACTAAGTTAAGTAATTAACTATAATACTTATAAACCTAACATGCAGTGCAAAGTAGAAGCAATTAACCTCAAACATATAACAAAAAACAGCCAAGAGGTGATTTTAACAAAGATCATGCATCTATTCAAGCTTGTAAAGATCACAATAAGCATCCATCACATTGGGTGCAAAACACAATACACAAGCCTCTAGAAATTGTGAAAGAGATCACTTACTTCTCACATGCACCTTTCCTATACTTGCTGGCCTGAAAAATTTTAGCACCTCTATCGTACCATGATTTGGTGTAATTAGGATCAGATTTCCATTTCCTTTGATGTTTCAAACTCTACATGGGAAGAAGAAAACGACAGAAGAATATGTCAATTTATATACGTCAAATAAAAGTTTGAAGAACAAAAAAAACAGCTTGTCTCTATCGCCGAGCAACTACCAATTCAATTGAAAGATACAAAAGACTTGCACTACATTGAGATTTATACCAATTTCTAAGTAGTTAATTAGGAAATAGGAATTTGTTGCTGTTACAAATAAATAAAAAAATAAGAGGGAGGGAAGGGAAAAACTTACAGGCCTCTCAGCATTAAGATACCAAGGTGCAGATGACATATATTGAGGAATATGGGGATTGATTTCCTTTCCATCTTCATCAACCTCAGCAGGTGCAAGCCCGGCCTTTCGGGCTTCCTCAAGCTCAATCTGTTTTCGATGATCTTCCCTTGACTTGAATGCCACTGCAATCCATGCACAAACCGTCTAATTAAAATTACAGAAGCAAAAATAACTCGCTAAACAAAACTGCAAACCCTAACCCAATTTTGTAACAAAAAATTATTTTTACCAAATTACCATGGTTGTATCATTAGTAACACAACACAGTAATAATTTTTTAATTGAAGTCTACGTGTGATTTAATCGGAAAATTTTATCTGGAGACATATAAAATAAAACAATACAAACTTATTAAGGGGGAAAAGATCGATCGATACACAAGTTGGGAAACCCTAAGACATCAGAGATCCTAAAATTGAATTGAATTGGGAAAAGGATCCTAATTTGGTTTAAGAACAATAATGGTGTAATAGAAAGCGAAGTTGATAGCGGAAACCCTAAGACATCAGAGATCCTAAAATTGAATTGAATTGAATTGGGAAAAGGATCCTAATTTGGTTTAAGAACAATAATGGAGTAATAGAAAGCGAAGTTGATAGAGGAAACCCTAAGACATCAGAGATCCTAAAATTGAATTGAATTGGGAAAAGGATCCTAATTTGGTTTAAGAACAATAATGGAGTAATAGAAAGCGAAGTTGATAGCGGAAACCCTAAGACATCAGAGACCCTAAAATTGAATTGAATTGAATTAGGAAAAGGAGATGATTTACCTGAAGCTGTTGCCATGGTGTGAAAAAAACGCAGAACAAGAGATTGATAGAGAGTTTAAGGAAGAAGATGAATGAGAAATTAAATGGATTCACAACGAATTCGGTACCTTCGCGGTGAATAGATTTTTTAAGATCTATATTGGGCCTTTCTATAAGCCCGTAAAAATTATATTGGGCTCTTTTATGAGTCCATACAAATTAGAGGAGCCCATACAAATTAGAGGACTTATTTTAAGTCTTACCCCATATCCTGCACTTATTGTCATATCCCATATTTTATAAAAATTGTCAACTTTGTCCTAGTATGTTTTTAACAAATTTATTAAAATTACAATTAATTATTAAAATCAATATTTTAAAAACTGGACCATAGATCAAATCGGTAAAACATTTGGGTTAAGGTTCAATTGGTTCAACTGGTCAAACCGTTTATTAAATAAACTAATTTCATGCATATGTCACACATAATCATATATTTACAACTTAATAAAATAAATATTTTAAAACTCCATTACAAATTCAATACAACAATATCAATGATACATATAATAACGCAACATAGTTGAACACTTAATTCCAACCTTAATATAAGAATAATTTGAACATATTTAGTAGAAGATGGTGACAACGAAAAGGGGACGAGGGCGGCCGAAATCAACGGTGCCACCGTCACCGGAAACTCTCACTAACTTGAAGACACTTGAGCCTGAATCAAGTAACACCACTATTAGTGTTCAGAAACCTGGGAATGTTTCAGGAACCATCGCCGGAGAAGACAAAGCTACTACAAATGCGCTGGCGAGAGAGAACAGTGAAACCCTAACAGAACCGTCAAAAACCCAAACCGAAGAACGTAAACCATGGGTTGATGTAATCAATGACAACCGGAACCCTGCAAGAGGAATGGCAATAGAATATGTTGCGCCAAAGCTCATCAATGGAATGATTGAAATTGACATTGAACAAGAAGATATTGAAACAGAAATACAATTTTGGGATAATGCTCTAATCCTATATGTTGTGGGGGACGACCTGAGCATGAACACGGTGAAGAACTTTATGCAGAGAATGTGGAATTTCGTGAAGATGCCAGATTCGTATTATCACGATGACAGATATTTTCTGATAAGATTTAGCTCCCAAGAAGACAAGGAAGCAGTCATGATGAAAGGGCCTTACACGATTTGAAACATGCCCGTGATATTGAAGGAATGGCAAACTGGTTTCAACTTTAAAAAGGATCTGATAAGAACCTTACCTATTTGGGTCAAACTTCCCCAACTTCCCCTCATCTATGGGGGGCAAAAAGTCTCGGCAAAATTGGAAGCGCTATTGGCAAACCGTTGGTGACTGACGAATGCACTGCAAATAAACTCTGTGTCTCATATGCAAGATTACTGATTGAGGTAGACATTACACAACCTCTGATTGATGAAATAGCCATTAGAAATGTTAAAGGCGATATAATAATGCAGTCTGTGAGTTACGAATGGAAACCAAAATTCTGCGATACATGTCAGAAAATGGGGCATAAATGTGAAGAGCGTGGGAAGAAGCAACAATGGAAACCAAAGCTCAAGCCACCTGAAATGTCCACCAACATAACGCATGACAAACCACCAGAAAGAGAGGAAACAACAGGAATCAGAAGTGATTCTTGGACAAGAGCACGGAAGTCTGTTAGGGATAAAGGTAAAATCATAGCTACTGATACAAACAACAACATCAACTGTAACAATGGTTTTGAGGCACTTGAGGTTTTTAATGACCATCAAGTGACCATCAGCCTCGAACCATGTTAGTCTCATGGAACATAAGGGGACTCAATAAAGTAGGCAAAATTCGTGAGATTCGGTCTCGTCTCCAAGAGCTAAAGCATGCTATTACTATTTTGATTGAAACCAGAGTTAAAGAAACCAAAGCCAAAACCATCCGCGAGAAACTTATGATATATGGAAATCACATTGACAACTACAAAGACCATTCAAATGGTAGAATCTGGATTCATTGGAATGTTAACAGGATAAAGTGACCTAAAAGACCTAAGGGTTAGTCCTAAGTTTACTCGGCAAGACGTCGCATCTTGTGCCTATATATCCTGACGGAAATAGAATCAGAGTAATTGTAGTTCTCCTCTAAAGGGAAGTTAGAAACTTCTTGACTGTGGTCAAGGTTTCAATGGGGGAATAAGCGTTTCTTAATCTTAAGGAACCGCTTACGTGGAGTTCGAAACTCCTATTTCTACGTTGAAATATTGAATGAAATTAGGGTTAAAATCAGGGTTGACTAAATGTTCCACGTCGGGAAACCCTAAAACAGAGTACGACGACTCTTTGACCTAAAGCTAGGGTGAAAGGGCATTTTCGTCCACGGCGGGACGCCTAGGCTAATTAGGGTTTTGAAATGTTCAAAAGGGTTAAGACTATTGACTCGGCGGTCAAACGGCTAGACCTAATCCTTCGGAAGGTATAACGGTAAAACATGCAAGCAACAAATATCATCATATGGAGAAATTAAAGTGTGGAAAGTAAAGAAAGCGTCGCGACGATCACTCGCGTAAATTACAAACCCCAGAAACAAACGCAAAAATAAAAAGCCGCGACCATGGCCTCTCGTAAATTACATCCATGGAACAAAAATAATAAGAATAAATGAAATGACGATAAGCTGAAACAAACAAGCTGACGGGGATTAGATGAAACTGAAACGGCTAAATCAAGAACTTTTATTTTTCAAATTTTTACTAAAAGATTATAATTTTAACTTTTGAATCATAAAAAATACTAACTTTAAGTTAAATTTTTTTTACTAACTATAAGTTATAAAAAAATGTTTTTTTCCAATCAGTTCTCAGAAAAATATAACTACAAGTTATTAAAGCTAATTACAAAAAAAACAGTTTTTAATTATAAGTTTTATATATTTTTTTAAAAGGGTTTTGGTTAATTTTAAATAAAAATGATTTTAGTTTTAGAAATGCTTTTAAATTTTAAGTTTTAAAGATGAGTTAAAAAAAGTTTTAATTTAGAAAAGTTTTAAGTTTTTTTTTATTAAATTTTAATAAAAGGAATTTTATATTAAGTTTAGATAAAAAAATTTGTTTAAGTTAAAAATGTTTTAAATTAAACTTTAATAAACATTTAATTTACATTAAATTTTAAGAAATGATTTACAGTAAGTTTTAATGAGAAATCAAATCTACATTGGTACAAATAAATAAATAAGAGACATTAAGAAAGTATATATTTATGAGATATTTATAGAGTAATTTCTCCATTTTTTTTAAAAGTGTCTGATTTGGAATCAAAGGAAGGGAGAAAGAGACGACAGAAAGAGAATGAAAAACAAACAAATTAATAAAGTTGTAAATTGAAGAAGTGATGTATTGTATGTGTACATTTGCAAATCTTTAAAATATCTAGAAAGATAAATAATATATATATATATATATATATATATATATATATATATATATATATATATATATATATATATATATATATATATATATATATATATATATATATATATATATATATATATATATATATATATATATATATATATATATATATATATATATATATATATATATATATATATATATATATATATATATATATATATATATATATATATATATATATATATATATATATATATATATATATATATATATATATATATATATATATATATATATATATATATATATATATATATATATATATATATATATATATATATATATATATATATGAAAAAGATCTTGATAATTGATTGAGAAATTTCACAAATGAAATAATTTAAAAAATAGTAAAATAGTTTAATTCAAATAAGACCTCTAAATAGTTTAATTTAAATAAAAAACTAATATTTTTAGATTCTATGCGATCTTTTTTTTACTATGGATCGATTTTTAAAATTAAAATAAAACCTCTAAATTGTTTGAAACGGTCCTACTAATATAACTTGCACGGTATATTTTCATACACACACAGAGCTACTATTTTATCTACATTTTATTAATGATTGACATTATTATATATGGAATAATTTTAGTTATAATTTTATATCTTTAGTAATACTATTGTGTTAATTGAATAAACTTTAGTAGTGCTTTTAACTCAATAGTCTTTATAGAATTAATATTGATTCAATACAAAAGTATATACACATTTTATACAATATTGATTCAATACTTTTGTATGTATACACATTAGGCAAGGAAATTATTCTATTATGCTATAGACTAGATTGATCCCTAACAATAATCTTTTATTGTTTTTCTTTTTCAAAATTGTCACAGGCCTTGCTCCCTCAAATCATTGTAGCCGAAATGAGAACATGAAAAGTTTAATATCATTTTTTTTCTCACAAAATTTATCACATTGAAAATATTTAATATTTTGTTTAAACTATGTTTTAATGTGAATATAAAATTAGAGAAAATCGAGTAAACTTGCGATATATTTTCTTGAAAAAAGGTCTTCAAAAAAATTTGTAGCTTCGCAGTGGATGTTCTTCTTATCTTTCTTAGTTTTTTTTTTTTTCCGGAAACAGTGTCTTTCTGATAGATTTTATAAGAACTATATTGGGCTTTTCCATAAGTCCGTAAAAATTATATTGGGCTCTTTTATGAGCTCATACAAATTAGAGGAGTTATTTTAAGTCTTACCCCGTATCCCTGCACTTATTGTCATATCCCATATTTTATGAAAATTGTCAACTTTGTCCTAGTATGTTTTTAACAAATTTATTATTTTATTTTTTATTATTTATTTGAAAATTTTGAAAAATTATACCCCTACGTATGTGTATCGAATAACATCTAAAACGAATTTTGATGCGTAACTTTTGTATATCGAATAACTTGTAATAATTTATCTGGTGTATTTTCTTATTTTATTTCGAACAATTTGAAAATGTGTTCCAGTATTACTTTTATATTTTAATATTTTGAACAATTGAAAAAAAACTTCCGATTTAAAATTTTTGTATACCAAAACTCTTTATTTCAAGATATTTGGTATTTATATATTTTTTATATCAGAAGACTTAATGAAGAGTCATTTGGAGTAAAAAAAAAAACAATTTAGAAAATAAATAAAAAAATGTAGAGTAACAAAATAAATAAATAACACATTAAAGAAAATTTAAAAAATAAAAATAAAAAAATAAAATTTGAACACTTTAAGAAAGAGATTTGATGTAGTATTTCAATAAATATGATTGCTTCTAAAAAGAGTTTTAGAACTTTTCGGGTACCGAATATCTTATCCAAAGTATTTAAAGAATCTAATAACTTACTCTTTCAATTCCGATTTACTGAGTATCAGATAACTTGTAAAAAGAGATTGAGAGAAAAAGTTTTAAAAAATGAAACAAATAAACAATTTACGGGTATTTTAGTCCAAAGAATATAATGTAGGGATAGGAGAGTAAATGAAGGGGTATGGGATAAAAATTTCTCCTCGCACTCCTACTACTCTTAAAATTTGGAAATGTACTTTTAAATGCATCTTATATATACCACATTCTTTTTTCTTTCGTAAGTGAGCTAGGATATTCATCATGGTTCATAAGCTCCACATTCTTTTTTCTTTCGTAAGTGAGCTAGGATATTCATCATGGTTCATAAGCTCCACTAAATTATACCACATTAATGGTTTGGTTCAACTTGTAATAATCATCCCAATAAAATTGCAATTAATTACTAAAATCAATATTTTAAAAACTGGATCATAGATCAAACCCGTAAAACATTTGGGTTAAGGTTCAATTGGTTCAACTGGTCAAACCGTTTATTAAATAAACTAATAATATGAAACTAATTTCATGCATATGTCACACATAATCATATATTTACAACTTAATAAAATAAATATTTCACACACAAAGTGTTTGATAAATTGTTTGTGTGTATTTTTTTGACTTTGCGTTCATTGGAAATAAGCATTAAGAATAGCTTTACATTTGATTGATTTGTGACTTAAGAATTTTTGAATGATTTGTATTCATTATCATTCCAAAAATTTTACGTTACGCATATAGCTTTACGATAGTAGGTTTGTTTAGACTATTCGATCTGGGTCGTTTTTCCGCTGCACTATATTCTTGAAAATAGATTTTTGCCAAAAGTTTTTTGTTGTAAAATTTGTGACCTATTCACCCCCTCTATATCTAAG